TTTTTTTTTTTTTTTAACGTGGAGGAAATCTTCGAAAGATACCCGACTCGCCTGAGGGAGGAAAGCCAGGTAGTGTCGGATTTTTACCGATTAAAACCTCCACGATGGTCATCTACCTGCCTTGTGGAAAGCTCCAGGACCTTTTATTCTGGAGGGTGCTTCCCAGGCAACTCGCCTGGTCTGGTTTCTTCTCGGCGATGCAGGAGAACTTTTCCCCCTTCTTCGTCATTTCCTTTTTGTCGTTGATCTTCTTGCGACGCCAGGTGCCATTCCCCAGCGTCGTTCGTACCTGTGGGGCCATATCGCTAGGATAAACGAGCCCTCACTCGCCTTCCCGTCGACCCCTGATAATTCCTCCTTCGTTGTTTCCCTCGGAGGAGGAGAATAGGAATTTCTTCCTCGCCTCCTCATGCCCTTGCTGGGGTGCCATTTTGACCTAACCCAAGCGACCGAGGGTCAATTCCTGTTTCTCCAACGAGAGACCGTGTTTTTTCAACGTTGTCGTGTAACCGAGTGTAAGGCATACGTCGCGAAAATACCTAGTGAAAATATAAACAGAATGGGTCATTGTATACACGAGACGCGTTAATAAAATTCCTGGCCCGTGTTGATGCGCGATGTTCCATGCCAATGCAGAATATTCGAGGTCGTGGAACTTTTTCCTGTATGCGTTGCGAATTACCAACCGGGAAATGCAAATGTAATTTATATATGTATTCAGATTACGTTTGTTGATGGAAGACGTTGGAATACAAAACAACGTATACTTTCATATTTGACGTTGGGAGCCTGGTCCCTTGAGATTCTTAAATTTGAACTTTTCGTCCAACTTCCGAATTGTTTAGATTAAACGATCAAATGATAAGATAGCTGCAAATATGATAAATGGCCATTTAGATTAAATTAATAGTTTGGTAATTTCACTTTCAGCAAATAGAATCGGGAGGGCAAATAGGTGGAATTCTCTCCCGGAGTTTTCGAAAATCGTCGAAAATCGCTGTAGAAATAAAAGGCCGAATCGAAGTAATGGCGCGAGAAGTGTTTGAATTGCGCGTAGAGTTTACGTGTGCGTGAATAGTATACTGTAGCACACACACACACACACACACAACGTACCCTGAAGGTCGTGAAACCTGTTGGACATAGTGGAGTATACGAATGAAATTTCCAATTCCTCTGGAAATGTGGGTGGAACGCACATATGTATACATATATGTAACGTCGTTTTAACCGGTAGAAAGAATTCAAGGACAGGAGGTATTTGAAGCAGATAGTCTTCAGGTAATTTCGACGCCATTTTCGTAGGTCGTTACATGATTAATGCTAATGCTAACTATCTGTATATAAATCGATCTTTTAAATCGTCGATACTTTATGCAAATGTATTTCCTATTTGAATAAGGATTGCGTAACCGAAATCACGTTCGAAATCTCTTTATTGTATCTTCTATTCACTTTTACATTGAGACTTGTTATATAAGATCCCGCAGGATCCTTTATTGCACGAAGAACGAAGCAGTTGTTGCAACTGACTTTCACTGGCACGTTCGATCATATCTGGATACGAAGGAAGCAAACTATGAAAATAAATCGATACGATCGTAGACGTTTCGCTGCTTTCCAACGTCAATCTTGAAAATTACTTAATAATAATGTCAAAGTAATCTTCATTTTCACACGGTCCGCATCGATCGCAAAGTTTAACAATAGGTAGGAAATCAACTTTCAGGGTCTTCCAGTGTTCTAGAATTTACTTGCAAGAGACAATCGATAGTCGTGAGTCCGACGTTAAATTAATTAAACGTTTCGTTTAAATTACGAAAGGAACCAACGAAATTCATACAACACGGTTAATTCTTCGAGTTGTGCAGTTACT